AGTAAAGCCAGTCAATTTATTAGAGATTTGTATTGCAGAATGGCCATTTGGCTGAATAAATCGACTATTTTTCGCAAACGAACGATTCAAATTACAAACCACGGCTGCTGGTTGTAATTTGAAGGTTAGTGATACATTTCTGTTGGTTATGAGCTGTTAAAGAATTGCTAAATTTAAACGTATTAATACATGTTGTTTACTTACAAAGTATAAAGTACAGTATATTAACATATGATAGTTTGGTTTATTTGTTGGAAAAATTCGATGTCTTCGAAGTAATATTGTAGTAATAGGAATGAATGTTAATTCATAATCATGATATTTTAATTACATAAATAAATATCACTTTCTGATATTGTTTGTATTTGTAGTTCAACATGTCAGACACAGGTCTACAGACAACTTCCCGCACGAAATAAATTTGATTAATTGCTCGTGACTTTGAAATTTATACTTTTTAAAATAAAGTTTGATGCAATCCAAAACCTGTACTGATAAGATTTGACATAAACCTCGAAAATCGAAATAAATAACACAGTATACGCGATCGACTGTCAGCATTTCATTCAGATTCAGACTGTAGCTCACACAACAATATCAAATTTCTCCCTAAATATTTGTTTCTTTCTATGCTAACCACAATAATAATTTAAGCTTACATTGCCTCTGCAGGCAGTTGTAGTAGTTTGATATTCCAATCCTTTGTTTCCGAAAAATAGTCGATTTTGTGATCAAAATGTACATTTCGTAATACAAATCCCTATTGCATTGACTGACTTTTACTCGCCGGCTGCGAGCTTGAGAATCCCGCGCGTGCGCACTGAAAATTGGTTACGCGTTGTACACGTGAGTTGCCCTTCTATTCATTTCTTATTCTATGGCCAAGTTCAATCCTTTGGCAGCAAACATTCAACGGGGAAAGATATTTATTCAAATTTTCTACATATAAAGTTCCAAAGACCTAATAAGATACGTGGAATTTGTTTTCAAAGGTATGTTTATTGTGTATTTACTTATTTGTGTGCGGAAAGTTACTTGATATACTGTATAGTTATATTTTTAAATCGAAGACGAAGGCCTGTATTTTATAGTCGCTTCGCCGCCGATTTGCCGATCTAGACGTTCAGTTTTAATATTCGATTAATTTGTATTAGCAGAAGTCCATAAGTCTAATCTACAGTCTCTACTTATATGTGTTGTTAGCCCCGTTTACACGAGCAAATTTTATTTGACAAATTTCATTTCATCAAAAGCATTTGTTGTTCAAATGCATTTGTCACAATAAATTTGTCACAAATTTATCATCTACACGAGCAAAATATCTCTGACATATGAAATTTGTCAAATAAAATTTGCTCGTGTAAACGGGGCTTTATTTGTGTGATATACATGTATGTTGTATTTCGTGTTAAATATGTATACTTTTATATATGTGATCTGTTTGAAATGCAGTCACATTTGCAATTTCTGGCATCCTTGTGTAGAAAAGTAGGACAAAAGTAGGACTAGAATTTTAGGAATAGTAGGAATAAAGTAGGAAAATGTGTAGAAAAGTAGGACAAAAGTAGGAGTTTTGGAGATGCAAATAACACAAAAATATACAAAATTGGTCCCCTAGGATATATGTGGTAAGGGTAGACCATTAGATATCTGATCCACACTGCGGCAGGAGCATATATATCAGGGCCGTAAAAAGCTCTTTTCGATTGGAGGGCTGAAAGCGAGGGCCGAAGGCCCGAGGAAATTTTTAAATTTAGAGTCAGAATTCTAATGGTCAGAAAACAGCGTTTTAGTATGTCGAAATTTACAATTTAGTAGTACTAAATGGGCGAAGGCGTATTTAATTAACTATATATTGGATAAGTTGCAGGAAAGTATGGGTAATATCTTCATTCTTTGCAGTTTGTCATGGATTAAATGATAAAGGTGTGCATGATTTTGAAAAAAAATATATTATTAGCAAATTATTGGGGGGCTGCAGCCCCCCAGGCCCAGTTGCTACGGCCATGTATATATGATGCTTGATTAACTGGGGGGAGTTGAATATTTGGAATCTCTAGATCGTCGGAATTGGCACTTTCAGAGTCTTCATTAATTTATTGATTATGATTCTAGAGATGCTATGAAATTTTATACTCGGAAAATGTACTTCTTCTCCTCCTGAGATCTTATCATCTGGGACACAAATAGGGAATAAAAATTACGAGTCCTATAGATCTAAATTACGAGAGCTACAATATACTGATTCCCCAAGCTGTCTTAAAAAAGTAGGATTTTATGAGAAAAAGTAGGAAAAAGTAGGAAAATCAAGCAATTTTTAATAAAAAATAGGAAAAGTAGGAAAGTTTCACCAAAATTTCGCTTCAACCCTCCTATTTGGGGTGAAAGGCTTTAACCCAAACGGCTAATCCTGCCGAAGCTCACTGAGTGGTGCCGCTTGCACCCCACCCGAAATTTTTCTACCCCTCCTTTTAAATAAACGAAAATCCGCCCTGAAATTCTCGTCATCGAATTTGCCCAGCTTGGCTCAGTTGTTCACGTTTCTCATATTGAATTGGTGACCACGACTAAATGTCAAAAACAACTATTGCTATTAATCTTTTTGCGCGAGGTGGTCGCGTATCACATGGAAACTGCTGTAATTGGTGAAACCAGACAACCGAAATACTATACGAACTTACCAAACACGGAAACCGCAACTTCAAGACTTACCAATGGCCAAGGACAAATACAAAATGCGCTTTACATTAACGGAACATTACCTGAGGTATTGTATAATAATTTATGTATGAAGTAAAGATTTTAGATTGAGACAATGTGTGCTAGCAAGGGTGACAAATATACAAAAAGCTGCGGAGGGATTCAACTATCTGAAAAATACAAGCATATAAAACTTCGACATTTTGAGCGAAGGCCCTTCGTCGTGAAGTTTGTAAACTTAGTGAAGTTAGTGAACTTCCTGACGAGGATCTTCACTGGAAACGTCGAGTTTTGCTTGTACTTTCCAGGTAGTTGAATCCCTCATTCCGCAGCTTTCTGGTGTTATTATCACTACGCTGACACACACCAAGTTTATAAAATACATCTTCTACATTTCTATATAGTTAACCAACAGTGTCATAAACAACAGGTTCAGCCTGTGTTCATATACTGTGGGTATTATTTTATCTTGTTCTCTACTTACAGTGCATATCCCGCTCGTGTTCAAACTCAACAAAAGCAAAACCACGTGGCTTTCCTGTTGTCGTATTGTTAACCATTTGGATCTAAAAATATTGAGAAATTTTACTGTGGATGCTTCCTCTCACCCGAGAAAACGTGGCCTGTTTTCGTGTGAAAATATTCAAGGATGCGACTACATTCCCACACATATTTCTGTCGTTATCAGGCTAAACGTCAAACAACAATAATTTCAGAACAGTTTCCCCCAGGCCAATAAGACGTTGCCATATTGCCGAGAGGGATAAAAAACTGTTTGTGTCAGTTTGTGGTAATCTTCAACACATATATGAGAAAACATAAGATTCTTAAAGTTTTTTGTTTCCTTATACACGAGCGCGAAAATGCAAAACTACACATGTAAAAATCACACAACTTGTCAACAAGATGTGTTCGCAACAGGCTTGTAGCAAGCCTGTTAACAAGTTTTATAAAATAACATGTATATAACGCGTGCTCTGATTGGTCAAAACCCGTGTTTGGATCAGGCCATCCAAACACGGAAATTTAAAGTGAAAGTTTTTTTAAGTGAAATTTTAACAGGGAAAGTTGTTATTTTATAAAACAATTACTTTATGGTTTCCGTGTTTGGATGGCCTGATCCAAACACTTGGAAATGTTGCTCGAGTTAAGAAAAGCGCGCAAAACACGAGCCGAACAATGTTTTTATTTTATCAAGTTGCTACAAGCGTGTCACTCACAACTTGTTGACAAGTTGTTGAATTGCAAGACGATAACAAGTTGTTGGAACAACTTGTAACAACACGTAAATTTATTACTGCAATAATTGCAGTAATAAATTTACGTGGTGTTTCCACAAACAAAAACATTTATATTTTATCGCCATGCAAACATTCAAAGAAGCCTTGACAAGCTTGTAGCAAGTTGTCAACAAGCCGTTGACAAGTTGTCAACAAGCTGGGAACAAGCAGTGCGAACACATATGCTGATGACAAGTTGTTGGAACGGCATTGCTACAAGTCTGCCGCAGGTTTGTTACAAGTTGTGCGTTTTTACTTGTGTAGTTCTACCAATTTTCGGATGTCGTCCGTGTTGACAAGCACGCCGCTTGCTCAAGCTCGCTAATGTTGATTTCAAGACATTAGGAATGTAGTAACATTACAGAATGTTTTGACACAAACACTTTTTTGGGGTGAAAGGACGAATCCCGCAATTTCTGTAGTAAACATAAACAGAGGAAAATCCACCAAGAAAATTTAAAAAAACTTACAGATTTGACTGGACCATATATTTCCATCTCTCTACGTAACTTATTTTCAGATGTATCATAATTCTGTGAAGAAAAGAGCTTCAACTTACACAATCATCTACTTTTGATGAGAACAGGGGTGTGATTAAATTTAGAAGTAGGTGGTTAAAAAGTGATAGTAACCAAGCAAAGGTATAATATGGTAATGAAATGCTGGCGCGAGACTCCTGGTGCGGGTCTGGGTGCACATGCCGTGTAAATGTAATGAAACGCCATTTTCTACATTTTGGATGTGATTTTACAGGGTTCTGAAAAATACAAAACATCCTATAAAATGGGCAAAAATTTTACTTTTCAAGCCGGACCAGATTACAATCTTTGAATGTTTTGTGTGAGGATATCTACTAGCAATAATGACTACCGTAAGTCATACTGTACATCTGCCATCTACATAAACGAGTACTCAATATTCCATCTATAAAGAAATTACTCTGCACTTACTAAACGTCCAATAAACAAAGTTTTAAAAGCATCAGTGACAGCATTAGGGTCTGTATGTGGGTCCCCTACAAGAAAAGAGGAAATACATCATTATACTGCAACATACGCAAAACATTAATCAATATTTGAAGGGTATGAAATTCACAGTATCCTGATATCCACAGGCTACTACAGGTGAATTATCCAGAAGTGGGATACTGATAACAATTAAATTTCAAACCCAGCTGAATGCCCATATGCTTACATTCTTCCAATGTTTGTTCCAGTTGAAACTTGTTTTTTTCAATTCTTTCTCTTTTCTAGTGTGTAAAACACCAAACAGGAATGAGTATGTTACAATACAGAAGAATGACAAACTTTGACAAAAATATCACTCAAAGTTACTTCTGCCAGTGATGTCGCTACTTACTCTAACCCGCAGTGGAGATTGCCTTGTGTACATCACGAGTGTCAATTTTAAGAATTTCGAGTGTGTCTGACAAATGTGCGCTAAGTGTGCAGTTGCTTGGACATTAGCTAATAATGGTCGACAAGCTTTTCAATATTTACATCGATTCATTGTCATTAGTGATTGACCGATTATCGGTATCGGCATTGGGCCGATATTTGCCTTATCGGTAGACAATCGGAATCCGTAGAATTATCTATATTTCCGATTGTTGAGAAAATGCGCACTTTAAAATTACATGCATAGCACATTGATACACGTTGCGTTTTAACGCAATATATTAAATTAATGAGTGAAGCGTGGCATTTATATTAACGGTTTTAACGATCTTTGGTTGCAGTAACATGTTACGTTGGAAATTATCGTTCAAAAATCTACATGAATGACGTCACCTTTACTCGGTCGACTGATATTATGACGTCGTTATAAAATCGGTATCTAGCAGATTGTGGCATGAGTAATCGGAAATTTCCGATCGTTGCACAATCGGTCAATCACTAGTACCACAAATGTTTTGTGTTCTTTTTCTTGGTCCAGGTGCAAAAGACTGGAACTCTTTACCATTAAACATTAGAGAAATGATATCACTCTCAAAATTTAAACGTACTGTTTACGCGCATCTTTTAGAACTTGACAACAATTCTCATATTTGTAGTATATAGGATGCATGTTTATATTGTATACAATCGTTGATAATTGTAATAACTGTTCTCCCGTTAATACCAGCAGCATTGCTGATGGGATTTTAACAGTTTAATATCTGTCGTCACCATACTTACCCGTGTGGATGGTTAGGTGCAGACGTGGTCAGCTAATGATCACCGGATTTGAGTTACTTGGATTCAGGTCCGAATCACGTGGACCTGTCCATTCAGGACCTGACCACCGAACGTCTGCACCTTATCACACCGAACTTAGTTCGATGGAAATTAAATTGAAAATCAATTGTAGTCATGAAAAAAAAATTGCTTCTTCTCTGAGCAGATTACCATTGCAGTTGGCTATGAATTAGCTAATGACCTGAGAGTCTGCTTGGCACTCTCTATATCCGATATCCTGAGGGCACATGTCGTACCCAGACTGCGCGCGGTTCCTATGATATTAACCTTGGTTACTATGTAACCTCATTTAAATAAAGTATTTATTTATTCTTAGTTGGTTTATACTGTTGTGGTGTCCCTGACATTCCTTGTGAGAAATACAGAGGGACTAAGATATGGAATGGTCTAGAGCTGAAATCAATTGGTGATTTGAAGACGAAACTTAAGACAATTCTGATTGAGACGCGATGACCTTCTTTTTAACTTTTTAACTCATAAACTTTAATATATAGTATAAGTTCAGTTCACGTAATAACTTGTATTAATTAATCATTAATGATAAGATTGTTGTAAATATAGTCGATAATTCATCATTTATTTTAAAAGTTATGTGAATTGTCATTGAAAAGCCCATTTTAGGGAATGTCATTTAATAAATTTAAATCAAATTCAGTGATGTACATGTTTTGCTGTTGTAAATGTCATGTTTGTATGTACGTTTGTGTTGGCCAAGTTTAACAAATAAATAACTTATCTATGAAACTTTCACACTCACAGGAATGTTACTGTGATGAAAAGCTCTAAAGAAAGCTTCAGATTGGCAGTACTGCCACAGACCGTTCACCCTCTACGTACGTACAGCAAAAATGTCATTCTTGGTTTAGTAGGAGCGTAAAAGAAGGCACCTCGGACCAGAGAGAAACTACAGTTTGTTTTCATCAAGACAAAGCCTGCTTAAAAGGTGTGCTCAGAGAAACTACAGTTTAGTACTTACTTTGCGTTCAGTTTTTTCTATTCTATTTTCTGCTCTTGTTGGAGGTGGAGTTTCACTGGGATCCTGCAAACAAATTCAAACAAATAATTATAATGGAGTGGCAGGTTGAAAGCCCTATGTTGTATTGTATGCAAGACTAAAGATGAAATGGGTCATTAAATGGCTAGTCTATCTAGCTTAGAGCTCGACAACTATCCTCTGTAGCTCATCATCAGTTGGTTAAAGTGCTGCAACGGAATCGCAGGGCCGCAGATGTATGGAGGTCGCTAGTTGCATTTAGCATAGCTGCTCCTGGTTAGGTCTTTAGAAGGTCGATTTACACTACACAACTTTTGCCTAAAACTGTCGCATGCAACCTGCTTATAACTCGAGTTGCGCTGTGTCAATCAAGCACACAACTGACGTACCAACAACGCAGGTGAGTTGTGTGCTTGATTTACACAGTACAACTCAAGTTGTAAGCAGGTTGCATGCGACAGTTTTAGGCAAAAGTTGTCTAGTGTACATCGGTCTTAATACAGTAAATGTCAAAAATTGACACTCAAAATTTCCATGTATAATGTTGTGAACGGTTAATTTCTCGTCACTACTTTTGTCATAGCGAACAATATGTCACAAACAAGACGCTTTATGTTGTTTTATTGAATCGAAAAACACGTTTATAACGAATTTCAACTTATATTTTATTTTAAACTATAATGTTTATATTACATTTAACTGCGACGTGCAGTTCATGGCGCCCAACGTGGGGAATTTTAACCGAAGAAACAAGTCAAACAACGTTTAATTTATATTTTGACGAAGAAATATGAGCGAAACCATTGAGCGAAAACGTGCAATTCGCTCTGCCAATCGAGGGGTCCTTACGAAGTCAATCTAAACTACACAGGAAAAAACGCCTGGCCTGTAACAATGTTGATGAAGACAGGCCTGAACAATATTTATATGTTAAACAATGCTGAACAATATTGTTAACAACCAGGAACAATATGGGCAGCAAAATATTGTTCAGGCCTGTTTTCAACAACATTGTTACAGGCTAGGCGTTTTTTCCTGTGTAGATCGTTTAGCTCCTCCTCCAAGCTCCTCAACGAAAACTTAGCTTTAGTAAAGACATTGAAAAAGACATCGAAGAATCTGAGAGAGAGTTTACAAAATCAAGCGTATTGGACACTCAAATCAAGAAGCTTATCAAGTATCTATGGTCCAATTTGTAATGGTCATGAAATAACTAAGTTTCGCACCTTCGGGATGGTTTTCAGAGTGCTGCGGATAAGAATCCAAACCTGCCTCCTGTTGACAAATTCAACTATTTATATTCACTGCTAGAAGGTCATGGTTTGCAAGCAATACAAGGACGGACCATCACGGACGAAAACTACAAATCAGCTGTCGAAATACTCCATAATCGATTTGGAAAACCCAACAAGTTATAGCATATACATTTGGAGATGACAGAGTAACGAAGCAATGCTGCCATGAAGTTAAGATAAAGCTTGAAGCACGACCCGAAAACCTTGAAAGTTCTGCTCTTACCTTTTCAAAGATATGCTCGCCCCTCTCGATGAATCTATCTGTGGAGGCCCATCCACACTGAATCACTTGGGATCCAGGATGAGATGGGGAATGATAATTTCCTCAAAGAGTTAATATACCGCAACGTTCGATGAGAAGCACTACGAAGTAAACCTGCCATGGTAATCCGAATCTCATCCTGCATCAAATGGATATATATCGTGTGCGAATCTCCTAAGACTCCATAAACGTACTAAGAAAGGTAAAGATCTGCCCCAAGAATATGATAAGATTATTGGACAACAAATAGCCTCTGCATAATTGAACCAGTACCTAAAAAGTATGATACTAATACTATTTACCACATCACGGCGTCGTTCGGCAAGACAAAGAAACTACCAAGTTGTGCGTGGTGTTTTCAGCAAAACCCGATAACAGCAGTGTTTCCATCAACGACTGTCCAGAAAAAGGCCCCAACTTGATTCCGTACCTGTTTCACATGATCACCAATTTCAGAGGATACTCAATCGGTATGGTCACAGACATTGAAAAAGCATTCCATCAAGTAAAGATTGCGCCAGAAAACCGACGAATGGTTAGATTCCTATGGTTTGGTGATCCAAGCAAAGAAAGACCCGAAATTCGAAAGAACCAATTCTGTCGATTAGTGTTTGGCCTAGTCTCAAGTCCTGCTTTTCTAACGTCCGTACTGCAGCACCATCTCGCTGTGAATGAAGAAAAGGAACCCAAGATCGTGTCCTTGCTGCGGAAATCATTTCATGTAGATGACTTCGCTGGTGGTGCTTTTGACAATAATGAAGCAGTTGAAGTCTACGAGTGATCCCAAACGTTAATGAGTTCGAGGGGTTTTACCTTACGAAAATGGCATACCAATTCAAAACACTTGCAAGAAAAGATAGCAACAGATAGAGCTGAAATCAACAAGAAGCAAACGATAAAGCAGAAAATACCCCGGGAGTACTCAGAAATTCAAAACAAGGAACGACCCAGTCAAGGTTCTAGGAATACCCTGGAATGTTGACGAGGACACACTTTTCCATAACAATGTTAAATGGTCGAAAGATACCACTACCCTTCCTGCTACAAAGCAACCAGTTCTACAGCTCTCTGCAAAAATGTTCGATCCCATCGGACTGTTAACCCCACGCATTCACAACTAAAACGAAAGCCTTATGTTTAGCAAAAGTGATTGGGACAATGAGTGCTGCTGATAACAATCCAAACCTACCTCCTGTTGACAAATTCAACTATATATAATTCAACTAACGTTGATTCACAA